AAAAAGAAAAAATGAAGATCGGAAGGTTTTCCACAAAAAAAGTTTGTTTCTAAAACTTTGGGAACAAATTTTTCGTCAGAACCTTTTTCTGAGAATTTTATTCTTTCTAACAAAGCTTTTTCATGCGCTAATTGAACCATTTAATTTGAACTTTTTCATCAGAAAAATTTTTATGGAATGAATACTTTTTAATAGGACTATTCTGCAACGGGAAAGAAATGAAACAGAGATTTTTAAATTACAATAAAAATGATTTTTGTTTTTTTCACAAAGTTTTTCTTCAACATGTCGTCTTTTTTTCTGCGCCAAGCATGAGGGACTTTTTAAAATACTGTCCCTGAAATATACATATTAAAAAAAGTCTTTTGTAACTTCAGAACTGAAGAAAAATCACGAAATGCTCCTTTTCCGAAAAATTTATGAAGCAAAAAAATATAATTATCTAAGTTCGTTAGACATTTATAATAATATTTATTATTAGAACTAAGAAATTCCGAAATTTTCTGCAGAGACATTGGGGTATAGCACCGAAATAACGGTTTTTTTAATTTGAGAACTCAGTTTTTATTAAATTTATTCTAGGAAAACTTTAATTCAAGAAAAATCTTGGCTTCTTCAGAGAAAAATGATTTTTCGAGTTTTATTTTTTTGCAGTCAGTCGATTTATGTGACTGGTGCCGAAATAGGGCCATGTGCTAAAAATTAAAATTCGAAAAATTCACAAAAAGAAGATTTTTATGTAGCGATTTTGAGTGAAAAATTAGTTATTCAAGGGAAAAAAATGAAAGGTTTTTGCCTTTCAACCCGATCATAATTATCGGGTTTTTTTGAAACTTGGAGCAAAATTTCAGCAAAAAGTTGGTTGAAAATTTTCCCAAGAAAGCAACTACTACGAATTTTTTTATATTTTTTTAAAAAAATTTTCATAACGAATTTCCTATCATTTTGAGACTTGAGCTCAGTTCAAAGCGTGATTTTTTTGGCAAGGTTACTGAGGAAATGGGAACATTTTTGGTTTGGTAATTTTTTTCTCGTAATGAACAAAAAAATTCGTGAAAATATTTTATACCTACCAAAAAAATTCTAATTGATACTAAGAATATGATCACAGATATTTTCTATGAATTTCACAAAAAAATAGTAGTATTTTTGAAGCGAAAAAGACAATTTTTTTAGAGCCTAATCTCATTATTTTTTTAATATACTATCTAGATGGTGCGATGACGGTTCAATTTGCTAAAATTTGAAATTTAAAAAAATCAAAAAAATAAAAGATTTTATGTAGCATTTTTTTAAGTGAAAAAAATTGGTTATTGAAGGAAAAAAATGAGAGTGATAAATTATACTCCAATAATCGCTAATCTATTGATTCGAGTAAAGCCTAGATTTTTCGAATAATCGATTTTTAGAAGTTATTATTTTTTTAATTTCATAAGTTTTGAGATTTGTTCGGAACGCTGTAAACCCGAGAGGAGGAGCTAGAAATTGATATTTGAAAAATTCACGAAACTCAGACTTTTTATGTAGCGTTTTTGAGTGAAAAAAATAGCTTTTTAGGAAAAAAATGAGAGGTTTTTTTGCCTTTCAACCCGATCATAGTTATCGGTTTTTTTATCATTTCGCCTTGGAGCGACTTTTTCAGCTGTTTTCGTGATTTTTTTCGAGAAAAATGAGCAGAAAACAGTGTCGCACGAGGTTTCAAACTACTTCTAAATTTATTTTGGTCGTCCTGAACTATCAAATTTTCCAATTTCTGATCAAATCGCCGATTAATGACGCTATTACTATGCCGCGAGGAAGTCAAGCTCACCATTTTTGACCATCTGATTGAATTTCTCGCAGAACGCAAAAAAATATTAAGAATTTTTTCTAAGTTTTAAAATATTCATGAAATCCGACAACGCAGAGGCTTATCACAATGTCAAAATTTTCTAGATTATCGTGATTTGAATTGAAAATTCAGTCAGAAAAAGTCATCAAAGTAGTTGAGAACAAGGAGAAAAACGCATTGCGCATTTAGAGCGAAAAATAAAAATTGAAATTGATTTTTGGGCTCTATTTTTTTGCTGATTTATTATGTCCTGAATTTTTTTAAAAATTTTTTTTTGGCGGGAATATAATTAAATCGATTACCAAAAAAATGAATTAAAAAGATAATTTTTTTGATCAAGCAACAAACATTAAAAAAATAGGAAAGCGTCCAAAAACTAGCACAATTTAAATAGAACCTTATAAAAGTTCATATTTATTACCGAAAAATCAGTTGGAATAAAGAAAAAAAGTTAAAAAAATACTCTCAGTTCTTTAAAAATGCTTTTTTTCTCCCCATTCCAACGGTGACGGGTGTTTCGACCTATTCGCAATTTGAATTAGAGGGTTTTTCACATTAATATTAATTATCCAACGGTTCTCAGAAAGCTAGGAATATTCACGCAAATAGATTCTTTCTACTAATTTACGCATCCTTTTTGAGAAAAAAACAGATCAGAACCCCGAAAATTGAAAGAATTTAGAAATTTGAAAAACTTGGAAAATATGCGAAGGTTGACTATTGGCTCTCTAGCGATCACCGCCTTGAAATTTTCTTTCTTGACAAAAATTTTCAGAATATTTTCCCCCAGCAGGATACCTCTCTCACAGCACGACGTCCTTTCTACCTTTGATTTTTTTTGTCTCTTCTAATAGTCATAGTGAAAAATGCACACACACCTGATGCAGACAGAAGAGATGGTTAATATTTTTTTAGTACTCAAAAAAATTTGGAAAAAGAGATCAAAAATGAAACCTTAGGAAAAAAATAACGAGCTGAGCACATTTTTTTCGGCATTTTTGAAATTTTCCCATTGTTCTTTGTACGGAAAGTCTTGAGGCAGAAGAAAATTTGACTTTTATTTGTTGAAATACATTTTTTTGGAATATGTTAGACGTGTAAAAAAATGTTTTTAGTTTTGATGATTCCGAAAAAAATCATCTCTTATTATCCATTTCTGCAGTTTTTAACACATTTTTTTGCTCGAATTTCAATTTTTTCATTGCTTCAGCCATCTTTTCATTTGAAATAATGTAAAAATCCCCACTGAATAATGCAAAAAATAACAAAAAAACCATAAAAGTATCCGATATATACTTTATTTTTTTAAATATCAAAAACATAATTTTCACAAAAACAAAATAAACTAAAATGAGAGGTTTCCAATCTCTCAACCCGAGCATATCCCTCGGTTTTTTTCCTTTTTAGCCTTGGAGCAACTTTTCAACATTTCCATGTCATTTTCGACAAAAAATGGTTGAGAAATTTGCACAAGGAAATAAAAATTTATTTTTTTATTTTTCATGATTTCGCAAGAGTAATAACCAGAAATGCAAATAATCCTTTGAAAAAAACACAAAAATATTACAAAAATTAAGAACTTTCTTCAATCCTCGCACAGGCTACTAGCTTCAAAAAAAGTTTTTGAGATTTTGGACTCGAAATTCATTTTTCGTGCGGTTTCCTTATTTTTCAACTACACGAAATAAAGACTCTATGCCGAGTAAGGTTCAAAAATTAAAATGGATAGAAAAAGTTTTCGCCCTAGAAATCATCCGAATAAGGTTCATTGTTAAAAAGATATCATAAAACAACATAAATATTCAAAAATTGAAATAAATGACTTTAAAAAGTCTACATGCACGGCAGTGTAAGTCTGATATAAGAAATTAAATAATTTTCTAAAAAAAGATTTCAAAAAGAAAAAAAATCCACGCTTCTCGAATTCAGTCCTCAATGTTGATTAAAATGTCTCCGAACCCCGAAGTTTCGACAAATCCCTATATGAAAAAGTATAAGTTGTTCACACCGTGGAAATTGGTACCTTGGAACTTTTTTCCGACCGTCAAATAAAGAAAATGAATCGAAATACTCGAACCGAGCATATTTTTCGGCTTTATTTGCCCTTTCCAGTTTAAAAAATGGCAAAATTCCAGGGAGGATCGAACTCGTGACCCTCTGACTGTCGATCAAGCACACTCGCGCTGCTCCATTCGTCGCTTTTGAGCTTCCTGGTCCACTGGAGATTGGAATCGTAAAAACGTGGGTTTTTATCCAAAATTGTTGATAAAAAAATTTGAAGAATCACAAATTTTCGTCAAATTTCCTAAAGTGTAGCCAAAAATTCACGAGTTTTAAAAGTTGGAAACTTTTTGTTAAGATTTTTCTCGAAACTTCTGAAAAAAATCAAAGTTTTTCTTTCAAAAAGTATGAATTCCTTTGATTTTCAAAGCCAAACATTTTCGTTCTATAAATTAGAGTCTTATCTTTTTCTTTTTATAGAAACGAGATTTATGCTCGGTTTTTTTCTGGTCTGTTTTTTCAAAATTTGGGTTGAGAATCGAGTTTTGGGCAGCAACTAGGGTTGGCACGTACCCATTTCTACTAGCGTCAATTTTCGATTATTCTTCAGGTAACATAATATACATTTATCATTTTGTCTGAACCGTGTCGGAACAATCGCATGCATAAAAATATCGGATCGTAATTTATTTCTCTACAATTTATAATATAAGTTCTTGGATTTTCTTTTTCTCCAAGCTATCGATTTTGATCTCCATTTAATTTTTTTGATTCAAATCGTTTAAAGAGTTTGAGTATATCAAGTTTTATTTTTGATGATGAGATTAAAAAAATAGATGCCCCACGTGCAATTTTCCATTCATTTCTTCTTAAAAAAATGACAGAAATCTACTGGAAAATCGCTCCGAGGGTTTCAAAAATGGTAAAAAAACCGACTTTTGTGCTCGGTTTGAAGGTTTCGAAAAACCTTTTGTTTCTCTTTTTAAATTTTTTTAAAATTGTAAAATGAAATGATAGAGGATCATTTATTACCGCATACCAGAAATTTATGAGATCTCACCTTACCGTATTACTTTTCTTTGGTTTGAAGGGAACTCTCTTCTGCTGCAAAATTTGAACTAGAGTTCACGAGACTGTTCTGGAACATCCAATCCGATTCCTTTTTTTTTCAATTCAAAACAGAGCGATTTTCTCTCTGAGATGCTGAAGAGTCGAGAGCGAAGTCGACTTTGTCCTTGACTCTGTTCGCGAATTCACCGATGCTCAATGAGCCTTGTTCCATTTCGCAAAGTTCGCCTTTGGCGTTCACGATTTCGATGGAGCTTTTGAATGCTTTGGTGAATTTGTCAGTGATGTCCGTCCAGCTTAATTGGCTGGCTTGCGGGATTACTTCGTAGCGAACTCGAGCACCTCCTTGGAGGAAAAGGGAAAGAATGCGTGTTCCGGTTGTATTCGGGATGCTTCATGGTGTCGGCAAACAGTTTTAGCCACGGAGTAAAAATTTTCCTTTAACCGCTGGTAATCGAGTTTTTCTAGAGCCTGGACGGCTTGTATCGCGGTTACTTGTGGCGCGAGAATGGTTGGCGTCGTCGTCACGATGGTCTTCTTCGGTTTCGCATTCGGGGCAGATGCTAGTCGAGTTTTTTTTTTCGGCTGTGTTGTTTGTCGGGCTTGACGTGCTGGTGGTGCCCGTAGTTGTTGCCAGACCTTGTATGCTCTCGTTACCTTGATTTGCGTAATCTAAAATTCTTTTATTGTGAGTGAGGACAGAGCGACGACGGGAGGAAGAAGTTTCAAAGTTACTTTCTGGTATTCGTAGTGGACTAGCGGGATTCGGCACAGCGACGGATGGTGTGTGTCTTCATTGCAGTATCTGCAGCGTTTGTGAGCCCGGCAGTTGTGGCAACCGTCGAAGAAGTGTTTGCCGGCGCAAAAGGCACACGGCGGCGTGTGGTCGGGTCTCGAGCTGCATTTCTCGGTGCGTATCGGGTGTCCGCCGTCGCGTAGCGTGGGCGGTTGTCGTATTCTTGCTGTCCTGCCAATGGCGGTTGTTCCCGTTATGGTTGTGGTGGGCCCGGCGACTGCGGCTTCATGATCGGCTTCTGCGTTTACTAGCGATGAAGAGCACTTCCTGGTTTTCTTCCAGGCGTCGTTCTTCTTTGCGACCGCCTCACTTTGTCTGGTCATCGCGTCATTCTGCTACATGGCGTGTGTCTGGAGGGAGAGAAATTGGTCGTATTCTCCTGGCTGTAGAGACGCTGCCCGGCCTTTTGGAGCGCTTTCCAGACTGGGTATTTCTCCGCGTTTCGAACATTTTGGAAACATGGTCGAGTGTCTCAAACAGAGGCGTCGTTGTGAGGCGGTCGACGTTTTGCTCCTTGTCTTCTGCGAGATGTTCGCCGCGACCATTCGCAGACTCACTCTCAGTAGGAACAGGGGGGAGGTGCGGTCTATTTGTTCATCCTCCAGTAGTGTCCTGATGGCTCGGAATTCCTCGCGCAATGCCAGGAGTGGTAGTTTTTCATAATGTCTTCCGCATTCGTAGACGTGCATCCACCCTCTCGGATGGTACCATTATCCAGTGGCAGCCATCGGAGTAGTGGTTGCCGGCGCAAAAGGCGCACGGCGGCTTGTGGTCGGGGTCTCTGAGCTGCATTTCTCGAGATGGTGCGTATCGAGATCGAGGCGCTGTCCGGCGTCTTGGAGCGCTTTTCAAATCGGATACTCATCCGAGTTGGCGGTCTCGACCATTTTCGAAATTTGGTCGAGTGTCTCAAACTGAGGCGTCGTTGCGAGGCGGTCAACGTTTTGCTCCTTGTCTTCTGCGAGGTGTGCTACTCAGTAAAAACAGGTTAGAGGTGCGGTCTATTTGCTCATCCTCCAGTAGTGTCCTGATGGCTTGGAGTTCTTCGCGCGATGCCAGGAGTGGTAGTTTCTCGTAGTGTCTTTCGCATTCGTAGACGGGCATTTGCGCGGTGGCGGTGGTGGCGGTTATGCGACCTGCCACGTGGTTCTGGTGCTTGCCCAACATGTGCTGAAAGTGCAGGTTCGGGGCTCGCGTGGTCAGCTGGGGCTTCGATTCGATGAGCCTGGGCTTTCCTTTCAAACAAAGCGTGGAGCTGCGCAATCTCCTGGCGGAACATCGTCGTTTCGTGCCGGATCGCCGCGAGCGTTTGCTGGAGCTCCTGAGCGCGGATTCCGTCGTTCATGAAAAAAGGCTTCGCTGAGCCTCTTTTTATCCTGGAAGCGGTGTAAAGGACACCGCTCTAGACAAGAATGAAAGGGAGCCTAAGCGATTTCCACGCGGACTGCTTAACAGGTCGTGACAGAGTAGAATCAAAGACCGAAAGGTCATTGACATAAGACGGAAAATTCTGAAACCTCGGGCAATAAATTGCGTCGCTATCGAAAAAGTCAGCTTTAAAATAAATAAATTTTATTTTAGCTTTCCGAGAGAGAATGAAAAGATGAAAAATTGGGAAAAACAGACTATTGAAGGGTGGGAGAAAAGAGAGAAAATTGGAGAATAGGATAAAAATGAAAATAAAATTTTAGAAAAAGTTTTTGAAAATGCTCGTTTCAGAATCAGCTTAAAATTTGAGAAAATTTGATTTCTTGACCATTCATGCACCATTTTCCTGTTAATTAATATATCCTTATCACAAATCAAGCTTAAAAATTGTTCGGGAGGAACCAGCGTTCGATAGTTTCAAAGCGGACCCATTCCACAATTTATTTTTGAGCTTGAAGTTTAAAAATATGCAAGGTATATGACCTTCTGAAAATATTGAAAATGGTGCACGATTTGGGTCGAGGAAGAATGAAAAAGCACAGTCTTTGAACTTGATTTTGAAGAGAGCATTTCATCAGAAAAACTTGATCATTTTTGACAAATTGAAGAGAAACAAAAGGAAAGAGAAAAAAACGTTTAATGATCTCGCCCGCGCCCATAAGAAGAGGAGGAGCGTCTCAAACAAGAAATTCTTGCGGCCCTGATATCATCGATTTTTCCCGATCCGCCGTCCCGCCAGTGGCAATAGGAACTACACTAGAACAATGAAGGTCATTGATGGAAAAATTGAAGAAAGCAGATAATACTCACAAAGGAGCTGCAAAAAGACACATTTTGAGACATTGTTACAAAAATTTTAGAAAGGCTCTCTGGCTCACATTTTAAAAGAATAGCAAATGAGCTTTTTGCTTTTTTCGAGTTTTGGCCCTTCAAATTTGTGTTGGAAACCGTTACCCGCCCGGTAGCCACTTACGGAACCGAATGCTGGCCCACTACGAAAGAAGCTGAAAGAAAAATGGCAGTGATGGAGACAAAAATGCTCCGCTGGACCGCCGGCATCACGAGATTAGACCACGTGTCAAATGATGACATCCGGAAGCGGTTCGGGGTGGTACCCATCGTGGAAAAATTACGCGAAAACCGGCTGAGATGGTACGGACACGTCCTACGAGCAGATGCCACGTCTATAGCAAAAACGAGTCTTGAAATGGAAGTCGATGGCTAAAGGCCCAAGGGCCGACCGAAACAACGATGGTTGGACACGCTACATCAAGATCTGAAAGCGACAAACCTACACCCTGACCAAGCAGCAGATAGAACGAAATGGCGAAAACGATCCAGAAAAGCCGACCCCGCGCGGGACAAACGCTGAAGAAGAAGAAGAAGAAGAAATTTGTGTTGGAACTTGATATAAGTATCGACTCGACATCAGCCCGAAAAAAAGTATCCGCTGACCTTTTTTTCTGTCGGAGCCAATCGCAGGGGCACTGAGATCTGTATTATAGTTTCGATACTTTTACTGTTCGACCAATATTTTTAACATGTCATAATAAATGGCGATTGCTCGAACGGTTTGATTCGCAAAGATTTTGCAAAGTCACTACAGAGTGACATGTTTTTTTGACCGTTCGAAATGTCACTCTGAAATTGGTCGGTCAGTTTTTGTGGGAGATAAAACCACTATATAAAGATCTGTCTCACAGATCTTGTCCAATCGTCTTGCCTCCGACCTGACGACGACGAGCGCGATCGTCGTCAGAGGTTCAAGGAAGCCCAGTCCCCATAGCCTCCATTTCGCTGCTTCCTCAAATGAATAGACGGGTTGTACGAACTTGTATCTCATCCTGATCGCCACTTTTAAGTATGTGTAAGTATCAGACAGAATACAAGTACGTACAACCCGTTTTATTCATTTGGGAGAGTAGCGAAATGGAGGCTATGGGGACTGGGTTTCCTTCAGAGGTGGAAGAAATGAGGGGCCCTCCCGGGCGCAACATGCCCGCCCTAGCCATCAGGCCTCTGAGAAGAAATGAGCCGCTTCATTATGTGTCGATGGCGTATAATACCACGTTGCAAAAAGTAGGGGCGAAAAATGGTCATTTTTGTTCATTGTTCATTAAATCGTGGATTTCGCAATTTTTCAATAATTTTTAATTTTTTTCGTGGATATGATGTCCAGTTGAATTTTTATGTGAAGTATGGTTATATTTGTTCTTTTCTTTAGGCGAAATGTTTCCGATTTATGGTTACGAACCCGCTGACTAGTGAGAGAATAAATTTCCGTCGCCACCAAATTGGAAATTCAAAAAACCTTGTTTTAAAGCTTCGAAGCCCCGGGCGCCCTGGGCAGCGACTTATCAAGAAATGGCCATGGCGGCCTACGTCGGTTTGGAAATGTAAACGTTTGAAAACGCTTAGGGGCGCCATTTCTCCACCTCTGGTTTCCTTGGACTTCGGGCGACGATCGGGCTCGTCGTCGTCATCGGAGGTCGGAGGCGAGGCGAGACGATTGGACAAGATCTCTCTCACAGATCTTTATATAGTGGTTTTATCTCCCACGTTAATCATTATTCTACATACACCACAAATCCTAAAAGCCAAATTTTTTTACAAGTTCGAGTCTCTATTTTCTCTTCGGACAACATCCAGTTTTCAGGTCCATAAATTCTTCGGTTCCGGAGGCGGAGAAGCGTATGGAAGACGGGTGTAATGCGGTGGCTGTTCCTAGGAAACGAAGCTCTTTTTTTCAGGTCCGTTCATTTTCTCTCCGGATTCCGTAGTTCTTTCATTGCTCACCAGTTAGTTGGGTGATGTTTCAGTATCGAAAATAATTTGGAAACGAGCTGAAAACCTCAAAATTAGGCTTTTTCACCTTTGGGGACGTAGTGTTGGAACCATTTTCTCCTAGTTTTTTTACTTACAAATTAATAGTTATAGTCTTTTTGAGTGAAAATTTATGCTTAACTAGGCATTTTTCCTAAATTTTCATTTTTCTTCTTGGCAAGCTTATATTAAGCTGTACATTCAGAACTTCTCTGATTACGATTTTGTAAGTTCAATTTTTCCAGAAAAAAAGGATTTTTTTGAATTTTTCATTTCAAGGAAGGTTCTAGGAAAACCTTCGACCCGAGCATAGAAATCGGCTTTTTTTCTTCACCTCGGAGCAATTTTTCAGCAAGTTTCGTCAGTTTTTTTCGCAATCGAATGACTTGAAATTGGTTGAGATTTTCCCGAGGCTTCAAAATATCAATTTGAACCGTTTACCAAGGGAATTTTGAATAGACTTGCATCCCAAAAAGACTTTTTTTGTAATGAGATTTTTGAAATGTGAAGTTTATTGTTACTGTTATTTTTTTCCCTAGGGGATGTAAAAATGCCTTTTCAGTCGATAAATTTTAATTCCAAGTTTTTCGAATGACCTGATTTTTTTAGTGAAACTAATAATTCATTATGTTATTTGAAATATTCCGTACACGTGTGTAGAAAAAAACAACATAAAAATAGTTTCAATAAAAACTTAGCCTTCTTAATAGTTTTTTTGTAGCCACTGGAACATGTAGAAAAATTCAAAGGAGGTTTTCCGAAACCTTCAAACCGAGCGTAATATTCGGCTTTTTGATCTAATCGGAGCAATTTTTTTCTACCTAGTTTTTGAGGAAGAAATTTTTGATTTTCATGATTTTATCATTATTTTTTTCACCTCGGAGCAATTTTTCAGCAATTTTCTTGAGTTTTCCAGAAGGAATGGCTTGAAAAAGTCGAAATTTTCCCGAGGCTTTCGATTCTTAATTTTTTTTTTTTTTATTGATCGCTTTCTTCTAGGCCTTCCTAGGCAAGAAGTATGTTTATTAACTTTTTTAAAGCTTGGTGCGTTTTTTTAGCAGGATTCTGTCGTTTCAAACGCTTTTTTCGAGTTGAAAATGTTCACGAGGCCTCGAACTTTCCAAAACTTTCATTTTATTTTCAATTTCGCTTCTAGGTACTGAACATTTTTTTGCATTTTTTTCATGTTTTATTTATTCAAAAACAGTTCTTAATAATTGGGGATGTGCGGCGTGGCAGGGGTTCAATAAAAAAATTACAATTAAAAAAATCGATTTTTCATGGTAGTTTTTTTCCTTCAAGAACGGCCTTTTGTTTGAATCAGGGATCTTATTTTTTTGAATATTAAGTCAAGTTTAGTCAAAAATGAAGGTTTTATGGAACCTCCAACCCGAGCTTAGAACTCGGCTTTCTATTGACTTTTGGCAATTTTTCTAGAGAAATTTCAACCTCGAAAAAGAATCACAACGTTTGTTTTTCTTCAAAATGACTTTGTGCCAATTTTTTTCACCATCGAAAAATTGCAAGATTCATCATTAATTCCTTTCAAACCAACTCTCTCTTCGTATAGCGCCATTTTTAACGTTATCTTCGGCTTGAGCCACACTTTTTACACAGCAAGTGGCAGTTTATCAGTTGGGAGGGTACAACGGAGCATTTTCAGTCCTTTCTAGCTCATCGTAGCAATTTTTGGGCCTTGAGAATTTATTAATAGAGCAGCGTTTGGGGAGCTGGATTAGCGTTAGAAGGGTCGCGAGTTCGATCCCTGTCAAGGATTCTTTTTTTGTCATTTTTTCGAAAATTCCATGAACTCGATTTTTCAAGTTTCCAGCTGTTTTCTAAGGTTTAGTCATAGTTTCTCCTAGTATTATTCATTATTCGACTAGAAATCGTTCTGGAAAAAATCGATAATTCCTTTCAAACCAACTTCTCTCTTCGTACAGTGCCATTTTCAACGTTATCTTTGACTTGAGACGCACTTTTACACAACCAAAGGCAATTTATCAGTTGGGAGGGTACAACGGAGCATGAAACGAACAACTGGCCACTCATCGATCAGTTTTCGGCCACTGGGACGCCGTTCTCCCCAGTCTTTCCCTCTGTTCCATCCTTTTGCTCACTTTTTCGATTCTCCATTTCATTCTCATGCAGTTTTTATTGTTCGAAGCCTTTGAAAAGATGAATAATTGGGTCACAAAAAATGAGTTTAAGAAGGGATATGGACTTCTATGGAATGTCCTTTGGAGGGTCCTAATCCACTTTTTTCTCGATTTTTTTCCCAACTTTTTCATTGGTTTACTTTGAACTGCGTTTTTTTCCGCTGTATGCTTTCTTTTGCATGGAAATGTGTTTCTTGATTTATTTTTACGATTTTTTTCCCAATTTTTACCTCGACAAGCTGAAAATAAGTTTTTTTATTTGAAGCTGGCTCTTTTTGAGTGAGAACAGTGCAGGTTTTGCACTGCGCGAGGCTTTTTGATTTTTGTTCCATTTTGATTTTGATTTCTTTTAATACTTCAATACTTTTTTTAATTCGAGCATAAAAATTTGCGCTATTTTTCAAGTTTTCATCTCAGAGCAGAATCAGCTTTTTCATGGATAAAAAGCTTTTTTTGATAAGATAAACGTTGATTTTTTTACGCGCGCGTCAAAAATTTTTCTGAAAGAAAGGTGTTTCCGACCTTTCAACCCGAGCATATACCTCGGTTTCATATTTTTCCTAGCCTCGGAGCAATTTTTTTGCTGCTTCAAAAAAAGGAGCAAAAAAATAAACCCGAGAAGTTGATTTCGACAAGCCGAAAAAGTAATATTCAATCCCTTTGAAAAGATTTATTTCTCTGACAAAAAGAAAAATTTCTGATTATGTACCAGAGAAACCAGAAAAAACAGTCCTCAAATTTTTCTACACTTGCAATTTAATTTATTATTTTAATGAGACATTTTACCTTCAGAATTGTAAAATTTTGAAAAAACTCTTAGAAAAGTGATTGATATTATATTTTTCTTATAATTCAATTTTGGAGAAGGGTGCTTCGACCTATTTGCAATTTTAATTGAAGGATTTTTGGAAAAAGCTCTTAAAAATTTAAGGAACGGTTCTCTTGAGCCTTCCAATGCGAACATATTTTTCGGTTTTCTCAAGCCTCGGAGCAATTCTATCAGCTTTTGAAAAATGGATAAGTATTCCCTGAGAATCTGATTTTTGAATGAATAAAATATTCTTTAAATTTTAAATAATTTTAAAACTCCATTTTACCTAAAATTCGTTATTAAAAAAACATTCAACTTGACACCAAAGCCAAAAAGCCAATGAGGAAAATGAAAAATTTTTTTAATGATAAAGGTTTTAAAAGTGTCCAACGCGATTTTTTTCAAAGTAAAAAAATATTAACTTGACATCAAAAATACTTAGCCAAAAAAGTTCTTAGTGAAGACCTCACCCCTGAAGAACGAAAAAAACTAGTAGCCCGGGCTTTTCAAGTAACCATTTGGAAATGAATCAACATTTGAACTTTCTCGTTGTGATATTTGAACTCAGTGTAGTTGATTTAGTTTAGTAGTTTCAATTTCCTTTCAAAAATGGTTTTTCCAAACATTTTTTTGGAGCGATAAAGGCTTTTATTCTTTTTAATTCTTAGAAAAAACCAAAAAATTAAAAATGAAAGGCATTCATGGCTTTTTGAACCGACCATACATGTCGGATTTCTTATTCTTTTTTTAATCTTGTACCATTTTTCAGTCACTTTTCTTCACGGCGTTTTTGTTAGAGGAAAAAAAAAATGCAAAATCAAAAATTGAGGGAGGCGTGGTCGAAATCTCCGCCGTTCCCAGGTGACGTCATGGGAAAAACGGCGCATTCAATGGGTCCCGAGACGAATCTATTTCTCATTTAAAAAGGGATTTTTTTCTGTGTTTCAAATAAATGACGTGTTGAAAGGAATTCCGCGATATTCAAAAAAGCCAACAGAATGTGAAAAATACTGAATTGTGTGCCAGAGCGCCGCCGTGTATGCACACGATACACTACACTTTACGGGAAAAATATAAGCGGGGCCACCGCCAAAAACGCCCTCTTGAATGTTGCATGAAAACAACGTTTCAAAATAGAGTTTCATATAAAAAATTTGTTTCTGATTGATTGGCAATGCTTTTTCTTTGACATAGAAGGGTCAATGACTAGCTTAAATGGAAAAACGCCAGAAATTCTAGACAGGGATTGAACTCGGGACCCCCGACTGTCGATCAAACACATTAGCGCTGCTCCGTTTGGGGTTTTTCGAGCTTCTCGGTTTACTGAACCGAAAAAGAAGGTTGGTTTTTAAAAAATAAACTTTTGATTTTTAAAAAGGAATAGTTGTAAGTTGGGGGAAAAATCGAGTTTTCTTTAACTTTTCAGTAGCAGCTCCTGGAGTGAGATTAAATCTGAGTTTTATGCTCGGTTAAAATTTTTATTTTTATAGTAACGTGTATTAAATACAAGTAATATAAAATGTTGATAATAAAAATTAATATGGAGGAAACGTTAGTATTTTTGAAGATTTATATCGAGGGGTTTCGTTGGGAACACTTGCACAAAAATTTTAGCGCGTAGGGGGACCACGCCATTTCCCAAACAATTTGTACAAATGGTTGTATCGAAATAGTTAGTGGAGCTTTATGCAAATGGGGCACAGCTTTTTGGCTTTGATGACAGCATAGAAGTGAGCAAAAGTGTCGATGGTAGACATGGGGATCTGATTTCATTCAGACAGCAGTTGAGCAAACTTCTCGTTGCAATTCTTGGCTCTTTTGTTGGCACAACGTCGCTCCAACTCTTCCCAGAGATGTTCGATCGGGTTCAGGTCCGGAGATTGACTTGGCCACCCCCATGACATTGACCTCGACGGCTCTTGAACCAATCCTGAGTTTCAAAAATTATACGAATTACTTGTCAATTTTCTCGCCTTGACGAACAGTGAAGTGTGTTTGGGATCGTTATCCTGTTGATAAACACTCCCACGACCCATGGCTCTCAAGTGTGTCAACATCTGGTTCTGGAGAATGTCTTTGTAGACGTGCTTGTCCATTGCGATGAAGCGGTCCGATGCCACTTCCAGAGAAGGCGCCCATGCAGAAACCTCCACCATGTTTCGTATATCGAGGGGTTTTGGGAACGCTGGCACAAAATTTTAGCACATAGTTGACCACGCCATTTCCCAAATAATTTGTACAAATGGTTGCACCGGTTGTGGAATTTATGCAGATGGTACAGAGCTTTCTGATTTCAGCATAGCGGTCTGTGTGCTTCCTGATCGTGGTACAGCTGGTGGAAACATGCTTTTTTAGTCGTTTTCGTTGCCACTGCCATGTTCTCCAGGACCTCGTTCAGCCAGCGACTCAATTCGTTCATCGGAAATGCCAACAGAAGCTCCTTCTCAAAATCAAGTTGGTGACCGTGTTCATGGCATCAGGTGATAACTTCTCCTGAGCCACGCTGCTCGCGAAACCGCAAAGAGAGCCCTTTTCGTCTTTCCCTCCGTAATGGCGTTCGGCACTTCTTGAGTATTTCAAAAGATTCTTGGCTATCTGACTTCTTTGAGCATGCGGCTTCCTGAAGTGTGTTGTCGAGCCCTTTTCGCGATTGTGGGGTCTTTTGATGTTAGTTATTTCGCCCACAAGACGTCTTACTTAACGTCCGAATGACGGAAGTGCGACCTCGAAGTGAGTGGCGAGACGATCGTCGCAATGGTGATTGATCGACCCTGGTCTTTGTGATCCCAATGTGTTACGTGTATTCCGATGTGATAAATACACCAACTTGAGTAAGATTAAAGAAACGTAGTTGTACTACTGTCTCAATTTTCAAAATGTTATTTTAACTACATGTCGAAAGTGATTTCTCGTGCAAATCTATACAGTGCTTAAAGTTTTTACTGTAAAAAGACTGCAACTTCGCGCCGAGATGA